AGTGCAAGGAAAATAGTTGATGATGTTGGAAGTAACTGAAAATGACAAGGAGTGCATGGACAAGTATGGGAGAAATCTTCTTATGCATGGACAAGTATGGGAGAAATCTTCTTATGCATGGACAAGTATGGGAGAAATCTTCTTACATGCAATTGAAAGTCAACAAAATGGAAGCACAATTAAGGTTTGGGAAATGGTGGGCTCCAAACCAGCCCACTTCATGAGTACCATGATGGTTAAGCATTATAATTTTCATCTTATCAAGACATTGCTTTTGAGAATCCTAGTGACCAGCGTTCATCAAATGATGAGCCAGTTCTGTAACTCCGGAGTTGAATTGGAGAATAATAGAAAGAATTATTTAGATGCTCATTACAAGTGTTGGATTTGGGCCACTTCGACATGATTTCAGGTGCGAGTTGAATGAGTTGCAACCCATTATCTTTTGACCTTATCAAGATGCAGCTGGCGCTCATGGAGGGTGGAAAGAAGAAAAGGCCACAGGGGGTTTCAAGTAATAGTGCTTTTAAATCACTATTTGAAAAAGAATGACTAGGCTGATGCAGGCAAATTGGTTGGAGGTAAGCAGTGTAGTATAAGCAGTGACAGGATTGCACTCTGAAACAAGATAGCAGTGATACTAGTCAAACACTAGACAACCACCTATCACGTCTTTGGATTATTTGAGACAAAATTAGTTGTTGTCCAAGAGGTCCAAATGGTATTCTGGAAGAAAACAACTCGAGTATCCAGGCATCTAATCATAGGAAAAGGACAGCAAATGACCCTTAGAAGATAGAACCAATGTTGACATAGCCCAGCGACGAATGTCAAGTTTTTGAGGGGTTTGTTGGGGCTCATTGGCTAAAACAGTAAGTTTATCAATAACTACGAATGCATAAGCCAGCCATTGACAGAGTTAGTGAAGAAGGGAGCATTTGAGTGGATGAGCTGAGGCAGATTTCAGAAGTCAAAAAAAGTGATGGCTGTAGCATCAGTCTTGGCCCTTCTTGATTTTCTCTCAACCGTTTGAGATGGAAATAGACGCATATGATTAGGCGATTGGAAATGTTCTAATGCAACAGGGAGAGCTGACAGCCTTTCTTTGCATGGCTTTGAGCCCACGAGATTGGTCAATGTCTAACTATGAAAAGGAGTTATTGGTAATATTCATGGTGGTCTCGAAGTGGAAACACTATTTAGAAGACACTTCTTTTGTCATTAAAACAGATTGGCAAAGTATCAGACACTTATTAGAGCAAAAAGTCCATGCATCTTGCAGAAAAAGGGACTCATGAGGTTGTTAGGGTTGTCCTACACAATGGAGTATAAGAGGACAAAGGAGAAGAGAGTGGCAGATGCATTCTATCAAGGAAGGAGCTTATTAATGAAGGAGAGTTAACTCACATCAACCTTCGAAATACCCACCTGGATACAGGATGTACAAAAATCCTATCAAGGAGATGTTGGGGCCAATAAGCTTATTGTCGAGCTAGTAGTAGTCCCAGCTTGGAACCTTCCTTATACATATGAGCAAGGACTCAAGAGTATAAATGAAGACTCTAAATGGGGATTGGAGAAGAATTGAGAGAGTAACTTCTTCAGTCAAATCATGCTCGCCACTTGTGGGGCATTCAGGAGTAAGGATGGCATGAAACTTGTATGGATGAACAACAAAGTCATTGAGTGGACATTCAAGAGTGAGGCTGGTATAGAGGGAAACATGTGATCTTGGGCCACTGCTGCCACTAGCATCCCTACACAAGCATGTATACATGTCACCATGGACTTCGTTAAGCAGCTGCTTAAGGGAACGACATGTGGTTGATAGATACACTCAAGTATGTTCTAGCATTGTTTCACCCAGTCAAAGCAGGTCTTCCTAAACAACATCCACAAGTTGCATGGTATGCTTGGGTCAATTGTCACAGAAAGGAGATTAGGTCTTCACTAGTAAATTCTGGCAAGAATGTCTGCAGCTGATAGGAATAGAGCTGCATTTAACAAACCATACCTTTTGCAGACAGGCAACCAAACTGAAAGAGTGAACCAATTTGTTGAGAACTATTTTCAGTGCGTGACCTTCATGAAACTGCTTATTTTGGCGACATGATTGGGACAAGCCAAATGGTGGTACAACCCACCTACCAGTCCAGCTTGAGGAGGCCACCTTTCACAACCTTTTATGACTGTCTTCCTTTGTACATAATGGAGCAAAAGTATCATGAGGCACCTTGGGCCAGCCTAGAAGATTGGACTGAAAAGAGACAAGAAATGGACAGAATGTTGAGGAGCAGCTATTGGAAGCACAAAACAGGATTAGTTTGTGGATGCTAAGAGGACCAAAAGGCATTTTAGGAAGGGAACCTAGTCCTCAAATTTTAGCCCTATAGTCAATCTATTATGGAAGTCAGACGACATTTGAAGCTAGCCCCAAAGTTCTACAGATCTTTTAAGACAGAAAGGAAGGTGCAGCAAGTTGCCTACAAGCATACCCTTCCACCTGAAGGTGCAATTCACCCTGTCTTTCATGTTTCTATGTTGAAGAAGTATGAGGGGAACTCGTCTAGGAGTCAAGAAGAACTACCAATCAAGGATTTTGAAGGCCAAGTTCGGGTAGATCTAGGAGCTATAATGTAGAAGAGGGCTATCCATTTCCGAACAAACCAGTCGAGCAAGTCCTGGTTTGTTGGCTCAACATGGGGCCAAATGAAACAACTTGGGAAGACTGGTTATTCCTTAAGGGACTTCAACATTTGAACCTTGAGGACAAGGTTTCTCTACAAGAAGGGGGAGATGTTAGGACCTGGAACGACGCCGTAGAAGGCTAGGATGTCATTTCTGTTACTCTGTTTTGGTTGGAATTATTAGTCTTTTGAAGAAGAATTAACCAAAGGATTTCCGGTATGAAAGGACATTGGTATGCTGGCCGTTATTTGTACTTGGTACTAAAGTTGATTATCTTGTTTATTCCCCTTGTAGGCTAGTACTGCTATGTAGTACCTAGAATTTTTCTTTTTGGAAAAAAAAGTACCTAGAATTGTAATAACCGAGTATCATGAAGAATTTGAATGATATCTACTCTAAATTCTATCCTTTCTAATTCCTTTCTTTGCCTAGCTCTATTCTCTTCATCTTCTCCTCTTCTTCCCTGCTAATTCT